TTTGTATTGTTTGTGAATTTTTTTTAGATTGACCCCTGTTCGTTATCTTCACCATTTTTCTTTGTACAAGGACCTACATAAACCCAACTCAAGTAAATACACTATAGATTCACCCAAAATCATCAACCAGAAATGTTTTGCTTTCTATTGCATCTAGAAACAGATGAGGCAGTTTCCGTCAAAGACTGACCCTTAGGTACCCCAACATTATTTACATGTAAAATAGAAAAAAATGCATGATTCTTCTAACCAGGTTCAATGACTCATCCTGTCCAATGATAATAATCGTAGATTGGATCGTCTCTCCAGTTAACTTGTTGAATTCTTACTTCAACTCATCTATGGAATACCTTTCCTGAAAGTGATCCTTCTTTAAACAAGAAAATGTGTCCGTTTCAGCTTCGTCCGATTTTACCTCCATGATCACCGACAACAAGCTTTTCCACATTAGGGAAGGCTTCGGTTTTACCATCAAAATCAGCTACAAAACGAATAACTCAAATATAGTTAAATGTCTCCAAGGTTTAAAAGACAATAATTCTACGAATATTCATGATTCTACAAAATATTCTTAAAACTTAGCAACATGTGATGCATTTTCTCTCTTTGATGATATCTATTATTGACCGCTGGTTGGTTCTTCTCCAAAGATCAAGATTTGTTTTTTTTTTCTGGCCACCTTATTCACATAATCTGTCGTAGACATCTGTTAACAAACATTTGTTTTCACTCGGTTTTGTTTGTTTCCAGGTTTCTGATCCATGAAGAGAATTGGTTTCACAATTTTCTCGAACAGTCTTAATTTGGTCTCTAAACTGATGTTCTGGTTTGTCCACATTGGTCTTTTTGTAAAAAATTATGATCTTGATTTTCCTATTCCTGTTATATGTTCGTCAGTCACCCCCTTTCTGTTGACAACACTGTTTGCATCATCAACTGGTCTGTCTTCCAATAAACCAGTAATAGGGGTGCTTAGTTGCGTGTTGATTCGTAGGGTTGTTGATTTCTAGCCCCGTTGATTTTGTAACTGCTTGAGGAGATTGTTTTCTAGTGGATTTGTTGGAATTAATGAGATAACTTTCCCACATCATCTGCAAAGTCCAGCTTTGTTAGGGTCCACTGGATGCCACGTGGAGGTGTCATTGATGTGTGGATGATCTAGTCAATAACTGAGCAGAAGATAATAGATGACAAGAGACATAACTGAAAAACACCGGTATGTACATCAAATGGTGCTGACAGTGCTAGATTATGAATGACTGGACACTTTGTGTAATACAGCCCCTGTTTAAGCCTTACAATTTGTGATGGAATGCCATAGTTTCTTTATATTCTCCAAATGGTTGTGTGGTTTATTGTGTCAAAAGCTTTCCTAAAGTCAATAAAATTTATGTAGAGGAGACTGCCATTCTAATGATTGTTCAATGATGAAACGTAGGGTTGCTATTTGTTCTATACAAGAACGTCCGCATCAAAAACCTGTTTGTTCTTCTCGCGTACAACTATCAATGGCAACTTTAATTCTTTCTAGCAAAAAGTGTATAAGGACGTTACTGGGTAGAGAGAGCAGTCGGATTCCTCTCCAGAATTAACAGTTGTTCTTTTCTCTTTTCTTGGGCAGCTTGACAATATAAACTTATTTCATGACTACGAGGGAACCAGTCAAACTGTTATCCCTACATGTAGGTAATGGGGAAGACCTGGGAAACTGTTGCCCGAGGCCAAAGACAAAGGGCAACAGTTTCCCAGGTCTTCCCCATTATCGAGGGACAACAGTTTGACTGTTTCCCAAGTTCTCACGAAATAAGTGTTTTATTATCTAATCTACTACATAATTTCTTAAAGTAATGATATAGACACAATAATCGATGATTTTAAAATACATGTACATTGACAATAGTTTGTAGTATTTCTTGAAACCAATCTAAACAACATGAATATTAGTCAAATTCTCACACCAAATAATGTAAAATCAGAAAAAAAATGAATGGGATAATATTATCATACACTAATAAATTGATGTACTAGTATACATATACTGTTTTATTAGTAAACAACTTCATGATTAGTTGAAGGTTTGAATATTACACGTTGAGTCGGACATTTAAGGCAAAAATCAATACAGAGTGAAAGGGGCCTACATTTTTTTCCCAAATTACGCTCAGAAAACGTATTCTTAACCCCTTCTTTGGATTGAAAATTAATTGAATATATATTTATATGGTACTGAAATTTCTTTTCAAAAGATAATTTCAAATTGAATGCCATGAAAATGCTTCATTTTCTACATAATTCAATACTATAGCTGTAAAGTACGGGAAATTAATTATGACGTCATAATGGATCAGTTCAGTCATGCAACAGTTCATTTCATTCTGTGACCGGGTAACTGTTTGTTTCACGACATGCAAAAACATTAAAATGAATGAAGAAACGGTTCAAAATTCCTAGTTACAAATTATAGTGGGTTTGGTATTAACAAGACCTATTCTCCAGTCTTCTGGTATTTCTTCCAGCTTTTCTCAGTAGGTCTTTCAAAATGCATGCTGTTGTTTCTGGAGATATTTTAAGGACTTCTTATTGAATCGAATATGGTCCTGCAGCTTCGTTATTTTTTTATGTTTTTCGCTGCTTTTAAGATCTCACCTCTTGTCGCGGGGTGATATTAATGTCTAAGTCTTCTCCTTGAAGATCGTCCGGAGGTTGTTAAAGTGTTCTTTCCAGCACCTCAAGTTGCTGATCGAGTTCTTTTAATTGTCTGTCCATCTTTGTCACGATTTAGTTTGTCCATGTTCGCTTTCTTTTCTATTAGTTTACCTGCGATGTTTTACACTGTCTTTGTGTCATTTCTTGCCATGGCTTCCTCTTCTTGTCAGGCTAGCTGGTCAATAAATTTTCTCCCATCCGTTTTTGCTTTGTTTTTTTAACATTGCATATTCCTGTTATAGTCTTTGTGTCTGTGCTCTAGTTTTCACTTGGCCAAGTTTCTCTTAATCTTTCTCATGTGTTTAATTGCTGATATGGTTTTTGTGGACAAGCAAATTTTATAATCTTTCTTAAGGTGACTTAGTTCTTCCTCACAGGTTTTTACATATGTGTTTTTAAAAACTTTTCCTTATCTATTCAACACTGCGCTGTCATCAATAGAGCTTGGAAACGATTATGTAGATGTAGTGTACAAACTCTTTGTTGTTAGAATCTTTGATTTTCTCGATATGAAATAAGGGTTGTGGATGTTCAGCTTTATTTCTTTGATCGGACTATTTTCTTTGTTCGGACTTAAAGTTTGGCAACCAGTAAGTCGTGGTCAGAGCCAATATCTGCCCTTCTGTATGTCTTTGTATCTATAACAGTGTCCTCCATTTTCTTGCTATAGTGTTGTGATCAATCTGATTATTTGCCTTTCCATCAGAAGATGTCCAAATTGTTTTGTGGATAGTTTGCTGCGGAAAGATGGTTCCACTTATTACCTTGAAATTTTGTAGGCAAAAATCAGCGAATACTTTATCATAATTTTATTCAGGGGCAGGTCTGAAAGACTTGTAGGCCAAAACTCAGTGTTTTAAAGAGAAAATGCTGTTTAAGATTAATTTTCAAATTGCAAATAATCAGTTTTAGGTTAAAAAATAACTAATAAAAAATCTGATCATATTGAGATACATGTATGACATCTCTGGAAAATTGTTCTTTCATATTATAATTATAGGTCAATTCTTTTGTTATACTGAGGCAGTTCGTTGTCTAGATAATTTGGGGCCGAAGACTGACTCCGAGAATCAATAACATCAAGAGATCAAAGTTCGAGTCATCGAAAGTCAACTGTATTTTCCGTAACAATTTTTTCTGTGATCATGTATTTACATGTAACAGTACGTTTGCACTCAGATGGCACTTTAAGAAGTTAATGTCAAATATATATATATTTACTGCAAACCTACTCTCTTCTGCAGCTACCTTCTTTAGCGGTATTGTCACTCGAACATGTCCGCAAAGTTTTTTCACGATCTCTACTCCCTCTACCTAAGTTGTTTAAGCTTTAAAGATATGATCATAAAATACTTGTTCATGGTTTTAAGTTTTCCTTCCTGCCTGATCTTCATACATTCGCAAAGGTCATTCGCAAGCGAAGAAAAAGTTCACAATGTACTGTTTAAATCATCAGACACGTTTCTCAATGATATACATGTATATACTCGTATTTCCCAATAATTTGTTATTGAAGTATTGGTACATTAACAAGTTCCCGTGTGACAAAACGTTGAGATTTATAGCCAGGCATTTTTACAAGACTGCAGAAGATTATATTTTTATATAATCCTAAATTGGGTCTGACTTGAATTGCTGATATCACATTGTTTTGTAGATATTTCTGTTGTGACATTTGAAACCAATTTAGAAATCGCAAGACAATAATATATATAAAAATAATGAAGGAGATTCTTTTGATAAAAGCTGGAGACCTTTGAAAGACTTATTTTCAACCCCCCCCCTCTCTCTCTCTCAATATTTCAAAAAAAAAAAAAAAAAAAAAAAAAACATTGAAAATGCAATAAATTATTTTTTTTTAAAAAAGGTCCTCCGTCTTCTACGGAAGACCTTCTTGTTATTCTTAGGTTTCTTTTTCACTTTTTTTATTGTTTTTTTTTACCGATTTTGTACACACGATTTCCTAAAAACGTCCCACTTCATTTCTCTTCGATCAACTGCACTTCCCGTCAACCCCGAAGTAGAAGCAAGTTATTGCTTCTTTTTACATCTATCTCCTCGCAATTGATTGAATAAATTCGTTGAACTGTGTTCTTTTTTACATTCTAATTTGCGGTTTGGTCTTTCATTTTCTTCTCCGAATGGGACGGAAGACCTGCTTGTTGCTCCAGCAACTAGCTTTGCTGTTACAGTAGTTATAAATATTTTTGGTATATTACGAAGAGATATACTGAAAATGATATTCGAAGATTGTGTTGTCAGACCTTAAATCGATACTTTGTTTTATTTGACAGGCATTTTCATTAACTACTAAATGCGCTTGCCCGAATGGATGTGGTGGGGGACCTCCTCCTAGCCCGACAGGCCCAACGCCTAACCCTAAACCAAATAATTCAGGACCAGACGATGAATCAGGCATCAGCATAGGGACTATTTTATGTATAGCGTAAGCATTTTCTTTAATAGATATATTCCCATTCTTGAAGGTGTTCATATTTCTCTCTCTACATTTTCAAGTATCTAAAGTGTCGCGGATGAAATATATATATGCTTTACATCATCATATCCTCTTTTATCTGACAGAACAAGCCTGCTTTATTTTAATTGTTTACTTGCTGGGACAAGGGAGGGGCAATAGGTCCTTAGAAGATCTAGATGTATTTGAAACATACATAGGCTTCTTTTAAGTCAGAATGTTTTTTTTTTTTATTATTATTTTTTTCAAAATCAGCTATTTTTTTTGGTAGAGTTTTGGCCTTGGTGGTAGTATATTTAGTAGCAGGTACCGTCTTTACAATGGGTGTTCGCAAAAGTCGAGGAAAAGAGGCCATTCCCAACGTTACCTTCTGGTCATCGCTTCCGGGACTAATCAAGGTTCTCTCTCTCTCTCTCCTCCACTTCTCTCTGTCTCTCTCTGTTTTATTTTATTTAAGAGAAGTAGTTATTACTGTGACTAATTCTTGCATAAATTTTATATTTCTTAAAACTATTGATTCATCTTTGCAATTGGAGTTGGATGTCCAGTCATGGTAAAGCTAAATACATGTACTTATATATGTTTTTTTTTTTATTTGTTAGGATGGATTCAAGTTTACATTCCAGAAAATACGCCCAGGATATTCCAGTGTTAAGTGAATAGCTCAGGACACAATAGTATACAAATGTTCCAGACGATTGACTTCTTTATTAAATGTGTTTACATCAATGAAAGAAATTTTACATTTTTCAAAGAATTTAAGATTAAATGTTTTTTTCTTCATTTATTGTTTATACCCTTCATGGACGTAAAAAAAAATACATGTAATACGAAATTGTGACCTCATTATTACTTGTCAATGAAATTAGACGAGATGAAAATGCTCTTACGGTATAATAAAATAGGAAATTCAAAATATCCAAAATAACCGAGCGTAGTGCAAAATAAGGAAATGTGACATTAAAAAATAAATTAAAAAAACAAATGAAAAAAATTAACTGTGAATAACCTGTCATTACACTAAAAATTGACTCAAAGACTTGGTCTTTCTTTAACTTTAAACAATGTTTTATTTGAAATTATAAACAATAAAAATTATCCAACATCACCACACGTATCTTGGCCATCGATATCGCAAATACATGCCACATGGGTATGTTATACTGAGTTGAAAATCCTAATCACTTTTTCTTACTGTATTTTAACATAAATATCTCAAATCCTCGGATGCCTCGAATATCTATCTATCTGTCTGTCTGTCTGTCTGTCTGTCTATCTATCTATCTATTGTTTTTTGTTTCGTACATCCCAATCAAGTTCTAGGTAACGAGGTTTGATTGTACATACAATGTTCTCCGTTTAACCAATATTAATAAACCAGATTCAAGACACTGAAATTTTAACTTAATTTTTCTTTTAATATTTAAATCACAGATAATTCTACAATATTATCCATCTTTAAATACATCATATACATAAATGTATAAGTTGAGACTCGGTCCTGAAATAGCAGCTGGAAACTTTAAAAGATTTGAACTCACTCTCCAGAAAGACCAGTGTCTCTACTGGCACTCGTAATGCAGTAATTGTGCATTTTCAGAACAAAGAAGTTTTTTTGTGCAAAAGATAGACTAGAAACATGATCTATCTGATATTAAACAATGGCTTATTTTTCACCCTATATATATCCACTGGAGGAAAAAAAACCGTAAAACATCTAATAATTGTGTTTTGTTTGCAAGCAATTTTTTTTATAGAACGACGTGTAATTCTTACATTGTCTCCGCTGGGTATTTCTCCATTCAAGTTGCAATCTCGTTTGCTTTTTACGCCATATTACACCGCAATTTCCGTTTGTAACCATGTAATCTCTTTTGCAACCAAGTTCTTGTTAAAAAAGCAGAATAAGGAAATGGTTTGGGATCGACATTCTCGGAAATGAAATACAAACAGGAGTGGGTTAACGATACTGTTTCCGATGTACCCGATAGATCGGCACTGTTCTATATTTTCAATCGCTTTTCCTTTAAGGAAGAGAATTAGAAGATTTAAAAATACATGCGGTGCAGAGCAGACGATGAACAAAATAACAACAATAGTTAGTTTGATTGATTATTGGAATAACTCTTTCTGTCGTTTTTCGCTGGCTTCCATTGCTGTATCTACTGGTCCAATTCGTCTTGAACTTTTTCGAAGAACAAAATAAATGTACACATATGAAATAACATTCCATAAATTCAAGAAACAAAAAATTGAAGTTTGAATTTTAAGTGCTGTAGTTTTGGACACGATAGGTTTGTAGCAGTCCGAAGTCCTTCCTTTGTCAACAAAATTCGTTACCCCGAATCCAAAACCTAAAACCCACAACAAAATGCAAACGATTCGGTAAAATCGGGTACTGGTAAAACTGTGAAATCGCATAGGAAACAATACCGAAGCGCTCATATTCGTTGAAATCGCACTGATGGTCAAGAATGACGTCATCACCAAACTAACAATCGTTGACTGGTGAATCCTGCAATGATACATGTTACATGTACTGTATATTTCTAGAGGTAAAACAACAAGAACTCCCGCCAAGAAATCCGTGCATGTCAAGGAAATGGACAAGGTCCGGATGTGATGATGTAAACTTCTCGAGCGAATCAGAATGGTCAGTGCAAAAACATTTTCTAAAATAACGATGAAACCGATCATCCGAATAAATGATAAGTTGTAGAGTTTCAATTCTGAGAGGGAAGTGACGTTATTGTGTGTAATGTTCTCCATTACTGTAGTTGACTAAGGTCCTGATAATAACATCCATGGAAGCATTCTTTTAAAGTGGATTTATATATTAAGTTCTACGAGTAATCTGCTGATCTGTAATCATCTCTGGAAAAAAACCCCGAACTTTCTGATCAAAAATACCTAGGAAAGCAACACTTTCTTATATATCTTAGTTAATGATAATTGATTTCTACCTGAAATCACTCTTAGGATGCCATTAGAAACAAGATAAGATACAGTGAAATCTCATTAATATTCAACTCCAAGGAAAGTGTATATATAATCATGGAAAACATTACATCATTACTTAATATCAGTTCTGGATATGATAGTCATAAGTATCATTACAATTTACAGAAATTTGATCTAGAGCAACTTTACAATTATGACTTCTTCCTTCCTCGTACTTGAGTCTTTTTAGAATAACTTTTGGTGATTCGTTTCAATTTCAGTATATTAAATGTATATATACGTAATTATCATTATGAACTTTACGTCGGGTAATTATAATAATTGACTGTACATTCGTTTATCATTACCAGCCGTACGTTTTTAATTACAAAATCAATGTTTTACTGACTGTATCTAGAGATTTTGTTCCAAAAAGATATAAAATACCAGCTTCAATAGAATTCAGAAAGAAATTTTGAGTCCTACGTAGATTTGACATTTTGTTTAAAAATCTCCGGACATGTAATAGAAAAACATATTTATTGGGTTTTTTTTTTTTTTTTTTTTTTTGTTTTGTTTTGTTTTGTTTTTTTTCCTTTACTTGAAATGTCTATAAAGTGAACTGTAATGTAGTTCGAGAGGAACGTATGTGCAAACGGAGCATGAGGGGTTTGCAGGAACAAGTTGTAAAAGTAAGTAAAGCAATCACCTATGATTTCTAGTTGATAAAACTGAAGATTCTACCTTAAATTACAAATAGCAAACCAATTTAATATATTCTTTGAGTGTACAGATCGTGTCTTATGCCTGATAAATGTAATTGCTGATAAAATTCAGGTTTCTCTCTTTCTCTCTGTGCATGTTTTTTGAAGCTATTTTGTGAATACTTCACCCTTAAGGGGGTCGACTGGGGTTTTCATTGCGCAATACTTCGCGCAGCATAGTAAATAAAGCGTATTTACTCTTTTAAAGCAACTATTTTTACATAATTTATTAAAATTAACAAAATTAAGAAATCTCAGGTTAAAAAATATAATTACATTTTTAAATAACTGATTTTTTAAACGATTTTTCAAATGATGGGTAGATAGACGTCGTATAAGCGTGTTTTGACGTTATGAATAACCGAAGTTCTTAAAGAGGGGTCATTAATTATGCCATAAAATAAAAAGTATAAAATAGATGCTCTTGAAATTTTAAACATATGAAATTGAGAATCTCACAATCTTTGTTCTAATTTTTTATATAAATCTGTGGTATCTGTCATGTTTTGTAGTACTCCATAAAAACAGGAAATATAATTAATTTTGACATTTTGAAATGCCCCCTCTGGAAACCAGACGGTAGAATTTTGTGTTTCTTGCATAAAATATACAATATAGTACTACTCATCAAATAATATAATTTGAGCAAAATGTCTATAGTAGCATTTGTATAATTTGCTCCGAAGTGCGAAAAAATACTATTTTCCTATATAATCCTATAGTAAATATACCTGATTTTGAGATGGTCCCTAAAAAATAACCAGACGGTAGATTTTCACTAAACTTGGCATGTATACTGAAGTCAATGTAAAGTACATATGGTATAAATTTAAAGAGTTTTTCTATAGTAGTTTTCACACAATAAAACCCCAGTCGGCTCCCTTAAATCTTTTTTTATATATATTTATTAAAAGAATAATTGTCTATTATTAATTTATTTATTTTGGTTTTCTTATAATACCTACGTGATAATTTGCATAAACGCTGAAGGCTTTTATGCATAAAATTCTCACGTGAGCTGTTTGATCATCATCTTAACCATTATTCTCTGTAATAACATATTTACCTGATCTTTGATTCGATAACAAAAATGATATATCCACTGTTAATTAAATTCATGATTAGAAATCAGATCTAAGTCTGCGAGCACACCCAGTGTATAGCTAGGCTAAACATAGCGTAAAGACACGTAATGAGAAAATGACTTTATGAAGATTTTTAGCTATTTCCGTATTTGTAATTTTATCGTGGAAATAGACATTTGAAAATGTAAATATTTACTTATATCCATGTGGCAATATTTGAAAACAAAATGTTTGATTGACCTGTCCCGACTTTCGATACAAAAAAAAAAAAAAAAAAAAGTGGGTCGGTAGATACATGTAGGTAAGCATATTTCTTTTCAGAAATTCTTAACGTTAACCATGAATATTCAAATTTATTGAAATTTATGATATTAATATATTAATAATAGTTGATGAAAAATTCAGGGATAAAAAAAAAAAGAAATTATATAAACAAAAATATCGTCTCCTGGAGGTTTAAAGAAGTATTGAGTAATTTTTAGCCAGTCAGTCGAGAGAGTGCCATAACAGACATTTTTTAAATTTTCAATTCAAATGTTACACATTTGTACTGGTAAATATATATATATATATATATATATATATATATATATATATATATATATATATATATATATATATATATATATATATATATATATTATTCTCTAATATGTTCTCAGTTTTGAATTGTAGGACGTGGGAACCATTCCTTCAGGCTCGGGGGCCATAAAACTTAGACGAGCTCTCTTTTCATCTCAGTCTTTTTTTTTACATAAGGAACTAATAGTAGAAAAGTGAGATTGAAATCAAAAGTGAGCTCATCTAAGTTTTATTGCCCCGGGAACCAAATGAGACCGTATATATGTATAAACAGATCGAGGTCATATGTCGCATTAGAAAGATCACTCTTTGTTCAATGG